ATGATCAGCGCAGCACTATTGGCAAACTATACGGTTTGAGAATGGACACAAGCCGTGAACCCGCAACAGAACCGTCACGTTTGTAGCGTATCTGGACAGTGTCAACACTTGGAAACCGTGCTAACCCCTGACTTTGTCCGGTAACTCACAAGTAGGGCGCCAGAGAGCCGGCACCTAATTGCTCCCATTGACACTTTTGTGGCATACGCGAGAGAAAACAAACAGCCATAAACTCGAACGCGTGAGCCTCAAACAGATTCGTATCGCTTAACCCCCCCCCCTCCCCGGCAAGAAAGGAATTCCAGGTGGCCGAAGCAAAGCTCCCCCAAGACACACACACACACACACACACACACACACACACACACACACACACACACACACACACACACACACACACACACACACACACACATTTTAACTATTTATTTAAGTCCACTTAAAAGAAATGATTTACAGGGACAAAAATACTATAGATGCAGTCAAATGCATGCACATAATCAAGGACCAGTGGCATACAGCAGATCTTCACAGTATTTTGCATCACTCAGTTGTTATGGATACAAGTAGCACCGTCTCCGCCAGATATGACGGCTGCCTATAAGAGCAGACAGAGCGCAGTACTTTGCTAGCTGTTTAGCCCTCTTTTTGGGCATCCCTAGTTGTTGAAGCCCCCTTACAACCAGCCTGTGTGTGTGTCCTAAGCTCCCAAATATGAGCACAAGAAGTCGGCTCTGATAACCTAACTCTGAGATGACGTTTAGGAGTGGTTGATATTTAATCATCTTAGTCATAAAAGCTTCTTCCATACTAGAGTCAAATGTACATGCAACCTCCACAACGAACACCTCACTGATCTCCTCATTAATCACAACAATATCTGGTGTATTTGCAAGCACATGAGAAAAGGTTTCAGAGCTATTACACTTCTGAAACATAGATGATTTTACACACGAATGTTTGTACATTTTTACAGCAGATGAGAAAAAGCTTGATATGTCCTTCACTATAAGATCCACTATTCTGTCGTGGCGTGCGATGTACATTCCTTTATAGGCATGGCAGCCGTTTAAGATGTGTGGCAGTGTTTCAGTGATCTGTTCTGTAGTGTGATGCAAGCAGTGAGGTACCTGAGTTGTAGGAAACCAGATAGAAAGATTGAGTCTGGTTGGAAGAACTTGTAGTCTGGCTTTTACCGTAAAAATGATAATCTCCTCGCTGAGTGCAGTATTCTTAAAAAAAAAAGAGTGAGAAACAGAGTGATCAGCGGAGGAGAGACACGCAAGTTTCCCCTGAAGGTTCAGGCCTGTCCAGTGTTGTTTCTGCTGGTGTTGGTGTTGGCACACACAGACTTTTCATTAACTTCCTCATATAAAGACATTACTAAGATATATTTGATATATTTGATATGTTTTTATGTTTGCCTGCTTGCCCATGTCATATTGGGGTATCTATGATTTTATCGTAGTATTAACTGAACTATAAGTGCTTGTAATTATGCATTAAGATGTATCTATGTCCTTTTCGCGTAGTTCTTGATTCCTTCAGGATCCTCTTGGTCTCACCAAGCCAGATATATACACTCACCTAAAGGATTATTAGGAACACCTGTTTAATTTTTCATTAATGCAATTATCTAATCAACCAATCACATGGCAGTTGCTTCAATGCATTTAGGGGTGTGGTCCTGGTCAAGACAATCTCCTGAACTCCAAACTGATTGTCAGAATGGGAAAGAAAGGTGATTTAAGCAATTTTGAGTGTGGCATGGTTGTTGGTGCCAGACGGGCCGGTCTGAGTATTTCACAATCTGCTCAGTTTCTGGGATTTTCACGCACAACCATTTCATTTCAAAAACATCCAGTATGCGGCAGTCCTGTGGGCGAAAATGCCTTGTTGATGCTAGAGGTCAGAGCAGAAAGGGGGCCGACTGATTCAAGCTGATAGAAGAGCAACTTTGACTGAAATAACCACTCGTTACAACCGAGGTATGCAGCAAAGCATTTGTGAAGCCACAACACGCACAACCTTGAGGCGGATGGGCTACAACAGCAGAAGACCCCACCGGGTACCACTCATCTCCACTACAAATAGGAAAAAGAGGCTACAATTTGCAAGAGCTTACCAAAATTGGACAGTTGAAGACTGGAAAAATGTTGCCTGGTCTGATGAGTCTCGATTTCTGTTGAGACATTCAGATGGTAGAGTCAGAATTTGGCGTGAACATGGATCCATCATGCCTTGTTACCACTGTGCAGGCTGGTGGTGGTGGTGTAATGGTGTAGGGGATGTTTTCTTGGCACACTTTAGGCCCCTTAGTGCCAATTGGGCATCGTTTAAATGCCACGGCCTACCTGAGCATTGTTTCTGACCATGTCCATCCCTTTATGGCCACCATGTACCCATCCTCTGATGGCTACTTCCAGCAGGATAATGCCCATGTCACAAAGCTCGAATCATTTCACATAGATCTGCGATTTTGCTTGTGTACCTTAATGATCTTGTGGTTAACTTTTGCCAAGCTTGTCAGAGGTTCTGGGTTCTAATCCGCACACGTATAGATTTTTTTTTTCTCTCATCAAAAACGAATATGTTCATCAGTGGTTACACAGTATATATCAAGCAGGGGATTGTGTTTTTCTTAAAACAGGCACAGAGATTCATGAGAATTTGCATGAAATCAGCATGATCAAAAACTTGCGCAGTGATATTTTTCCTTAAACTAAAAGGTATAATATGTAGGATTTTTTGCAGTAAAATATACAAAAACCACTAGGCCAATGTTAGATATTTTGTTTAGTTGATTAGTTACAATATCCCAAATGTTTCCAACTATTTGTAATTCGTGAGAAAATTGTTATTTTAACCAAGGAAACGGGGCGTGTGAGCAGGGGTGAGGGAGTCACCTGTCAATGGCGTCATATCCGCGTTACCCTCGGTGTCCGCTCGTACTGCCATAGTAACCATGGCGACAGACGTGGACAACTGGGTTATGCCTAGCAGGACGCTCACGCTGTTGTTGTTTTGTTCAAACATTATGGACCATGGCAAGCACTTTGAGACAAAAAGAGGACTAAAACGAAGATCAACATCTTTCGAGATGCCGAGAGCTCCACGTCCGCGACTAACTTCGACTTGACAGTGTTGCATGTACTTTGATTAGTTTAATGTACATTTGCTCACCTGTCTAATAATGTTATTTAGTTCAACATGATGAAATGTTAGAATATGATCTGTATGTTATTCTAATGTTGATCTAGCTCACTGCTAGTCTCATATAGCCAACAAACAACCTAACTAACAACATTCAACACACTCAAATGCCGTTTAGTGTGATAGTGTAACTGTTAGAGCAAGTGAAACAGCGCTGCGTTACCTCAAGTTTAATTCGTCTAATAAACTGATCTGTGCGAGTATTAATTCAGCATTTGCATGTAGTTCGGTAGAATGAAATGTCCTTATTCCTTTATATCCGCGGGACTCGTGTTGCGTGTGGCGCTGGTATACGTCTCTCATTAGCAATCGCGCCCTGCTTCATACCACAGTCATGTTAAAAACATCACTGTATTCACTCATCCATAAAAGATCCATCAGCTTGATGACAAGATCCATAATTCCGCTTAATGCTTTGCGTCATCAATATACGCCTTTGTTATTGTAAAAGGTTAGCGACCCCTGGTGGTGAAAAATCCTACATATTGTACCTTTAAAATAACTAGTCAATAATGTGAATAAAAGGGAGCAATTTGATTGCACTATTTCAGATAGCCCGTCGGCCAGGCCGGTTATGCATTTTGGTTGCCCGACTGGAAAACACAATAGCCCCGGGACGTCGGGCTAGCGATTTTGTGAGCCCTGAGTTTACTGAAGCTGACTTCTGTTGATGACACTGCACACTCTTTTCTTCAGTAATTTTCTATGCACACCTAGCAGTTAATTAGATTGAATCAGTCTTACTTTTCGGTGTCTAATTAGACAAGTCTTTGCTTTTATGTAACTGACTTAATGTTGTGAACTTTGATGTCTATCTTGTAAGACTATTCTTAGCAGTTTATGCAACCGTCCCCTTGTCTTCATTCATCATTACTAACCAACTGGGTCTTAACTGTAAATCCTCTTACAGTTAATGGCATGTGTCGGTTCAAGCTCAAAAATTCGAGAAAGACAGAATTTTGTGTTTGCAGAAAAAATAGCATTGGTTCTGAATTGAGCTCTTTTTCGTGTCTTCCTGCACTTGAATGCTTTAAACTTGCTTGAATGTTTCAACTGACAGGACTTAAAAACGTTATATATATATATATATATATATATATATATATATATAAAAAAAAAATATATATATATATATATATATATATATATTGTGAAAACAAATTGAATTAATTAATTTGATCTGGTTTATAAATTATAAATTGGTTTTATTGATGATGCATATAAAGCTGGTTATTGTGTGTTTCAAACACATTTGGTTTACTAGTAATATCACATAAATATCGTTCTTATTTGTTTCATTTATGTATGGTTACATCACATTAGGTTTATTAGTTTGTAATAAAACTAATGTAAATCCATAGGAATATTAAATGCAATTAAAGTGCATACATCTTAATTGTTTTTTAAACGCCCCTTAAGAAACATTTATTTTAGAAAGCTTTATTTTTACGATCATGCACATTTTTAACTGATATTGCAACGGTCGTAATGTGATGTCACACTCTGTGGCGTCTTTAAAAAAAACACAATTCAATACATCCAAATTGTAAAAATATTCAATCTACTCCACTTTACTGCAATGCTGCAATAGTGCAGACTTTGCTTTCTGTTAATTCAGCTCACGACGTGACTTGTCGATCTTTTATTGGTCACATGTCTTCAAGTGATGGGAAGCTAAATTTGCACAAACTTGCTTTTCCTGTCTCCCTTATTCACATGCGTATGAATGAAAGTCAATGAAATGAAAAGTTTAGTGTCACCACTCCTTAAAACTGATTTAATTTCAGGTTGGTGCCTGTATCGTGAATCAAGAGAACAAGATAGTGGGTATTGGCTACAATGGTATGCCCAACGGTTGTGACGATGACCTTCTGCCCTGGTCTCGCCGTGCTGATGACAAGCTGGACACCAAATACCCCTATGGTGAGTTCTGAATTTGATCCCTGTGGCCTGTTGCATGAAGCCGGTTTCAGTTGCTACCCAGGTAAGTTTGAGATTTGTTTGAGCAAACTCTATTTTTCGGGCTCAAGAAGATGGATTGGTTCTTAGTGGGTTTCATCACCATGCTAACTTATGCTACATGGCTAACCTGCTCCGGAGCAGGTTTTATTCAGGGTTAGAGCAAACCAAAACTGGACCAATTCGCTGTGAGTAAAGTGACATGTATCTGATGCAATAAAGCCACTCTCCCTGTAGCTCTCGCTCCAAATGAAAGCAGTTTTGAGTGAAAGAATTTTAGAGACAAAATTGCTCATCTTTTGCTGCTAATTAACCTATTTATAATATTTCTAATATATGAATTGTAATTATGTATAATTTATTTACATTTATTCATTTAGTTTAGCAGACGCTTTTATCCAAAGCAACTTACAAATTAGAACAATAGAAGCAGTTAAACTAACAATAGGACAGCTATATGCAAGTGCTATGATCCTTCCCAGTTTAATCTAACTATAGTTTTTTTTTATAGATATAGAAGATAGTGTTAGTATTAATGGATAAAGTGTTGCCGAAAAAGATGCGTCTTCAGCCGTTTCTTGAAAATTGCCTCGGACTCAGCAGCTCTGGTTGAGTTCGGCAGGTCATTCCACCTGCATGCAACAGACCAGAAAAAGGCCAGAGAAAGAGATTTTGTGCCTCTTTGAGATGGCACCACAAGACGACGTTCACTTGCAGAGCGCAAGTTTCTGGATGGCACGCAAGTCTGAAGTAATGAGTTTAGGTAAAAGAGAGCAGAGCCAGTGTTTGTTCTGTAGGCAAAAGTCAGTGACTTGAATTTGATGCGAGTGGCAACTGGCAACCAGTGCAATTTTGTGAGAAGAGGAGTGACGTGTGCTCACTTCGGCTTATTAAAGACCACTCTAGCGACAGCATTTTGGATCATTTGCAGTGGTTTTCATCTGATTATAATTCATATAATATATTCATGTAATTATAATAATTTTCAATTAATATTAAACTTTGCTTTTAAACATTAGTATTCTTTTGAGCTCTTTGTGAAACTATATAAATTATAAGTTATTTTGATTCAGATATTTTCTTTCAGCTGCCTTCTCAAACTTTCGCTGCAGCAGTGGTGTTTATTCCTACCTTGTAAATGCATTTAAATTCATTATATTTTACATAACAATCTCTTAATCTTCAACAGAGAAGTGAATTGTGCCGACTCTCTCAAAAGAAGTGAATCAAACTGACGCTCTCCATGTTCCGTGTGATTGGCTGTTTTGCCACACGTGTCACATTTTCAGGTGCATGCGCTTCAGAGTTAATCGTAAATTTTGGATTAAACCTGAGTTGACAGAACGTTTATACAGAGCGTTGTGAGCCTGTTGAACCTGATCTAAACCAGGTTGGATTTATATGTACTTGTCAACTCTAAACCTACTCTGAGTTCAACTATCTTCATGCAACAGGCCTCTGGAGTCTTGGCTGTTGGACTGCAAGAATCAGTTACCCATAATTATCAGTCTGTCTGCCTCTGTTTGACATCGGCAGGTCAGCACACAACACCCACATTACCACTAGTTTGAGGCTCTGTTAATGCAGCACAAGGCGTCTGTTAACACCGTGTGGCGATGTGTATGCTCTTTTGAGCACATGGTGGCAGTCATGGATTATTTTTCACCTGCATGGGGCTGATGGGAGAGATAAAGGTGGAGCTGCTGAGTGAGGGAATGGGCAAGGTCACTTTGTGGCAGCTATTAGTGTGAGAAATGGAAATGGAGCTGGCATTCCTAAAGGCGGCACACGCCAACCTGAGACTTTGAATGGGTTGTACTGCCAAAGGGAAGGTGTGAAAACTTGGGAGAGGATTTATCAGTCTGGCTGGTATTTCCTCGACTGATCCACTGCACTCTTCATATTTCTCCCTGGTTTATGTGGTCAGTGGACAGGATTATAATTTTTTTTTTTGTGTTTTAGCAAAGCCAATTGAGTTGGACTCCACAAAGTGACCCAAAATGTTAAACTGAAAGTTGTTTCCCCCCCCCCATTTTTTTATTTGTTTAAACAACAATCAACAACAAACATATTCAGACACAGGGACGTGCACAGGAATTTTGAGGGGCAGTTGCTCTGACCTGAAAAAAGGGCACCCCCCCCCCCCCACCCCACCCTCGCAATATAATGTGTACTTTGATTGGGAGTGCCATCATTCACGTGCATGTATTGTACAGTATGTCTGGTCTCCACATATTTCTGCTTGAAAAATGCGAGTTTCATTTCGTGCACGCGCATGAACGCACGATAACACACACGACGCGGTTATGTTTTCTGAGCTGCAGTAAACAAACACCGTTGCACTTTGTCGTTTATCAAAAACAAATGTAAAAAAATTGTATTTTACTCTCACTTTTGTCAGGCACAAAGTGATGCAAGAGATGCACTGCCTGCCCAGCTAGGTTAGCAAGCAAGACCGAAAAACATCAAACTATGCTGACATCAAACTTAGAGAGGAGAGAACACAAGTTTACCTGATTGTTGTTCCCGCAATTCACTCTCATGGTTTTTTCTTCTTCCTCTTTTCGTGACCAAAAGGATAGTTTCGCTTCATTTTGTCATGGATGTTGTACGCATTAATTGACGCGCTATGACACGAGATGGAGGTGGGGCCTTAAGTAATTTGCGGGGTCTTACGCACCGGTCGCGTGCAGCGCTGCAGCCACGTAAACAGTTGAGCTGAGTGCCCGAATGGAAGTGAATGAGGTTTTGCGTTTTTTTTTTTTTTATTATTTATCTAGGCCTACGTGAAATTCTGCATCCATTGTACGATTTTTTATTTTTATATTTTTTTTCCCTCGGAAGGGCAACCTGAGTCGAGAAGGGCATATGGGCAGTTGCCCGGGCAACCTGAGCAACCCCCCTGTGCACGTCCCTGTTCACACATCAACACAGCATACATACAGACATTGTGCTTTTACATTGTGTGTGTATATAGAGAAAAAAATAGAAAGAATAACCTCAGTAAATCATAAGCAAAACCTGACACCAGCATCAGTTCGTCCACTTACAGTTATAATTAGCTTTGAAGATGATTTATGAAAGGACGTCACATGACAGTGAACTTAAACCTGGAGCCACTTAAATTAAGGCTTATTTTTTCCGAACTTAGGAATTGTAAAACATCTCTGGCCCACTGTTTAAAAGAAGGGGGAAAGGACTGTTTCCAATTAATTAAAATTAAGTGCCTTGCCAATAAAGTAAAAGCTATACAGTCCAATTCTAGAATATTCTAGAATAAGATACAAAAATATGCATCCATTGCTTCCATCTTGTACAGGTGGGATCAACAGAGGAATACATCTTTGCCAGCTTGGCCTTAGATAGATGAAGTCTATGTACCACTTTGAATTGAATAAGGCTGTGTCTAGCACAGATAGAAGAGCCATGGATACTATATTTAGCCTCATCCCATTCCTCGTCCGTCAGGCAGATATTAAGGTCCAGTTGCCAGGAATCTCTTTGTGAGAAGTGGATAATAATTAAAGGTGACCTATAATTCAAAATTGAATTTACCTTGGTATAGTCAAATAACAGGAGTTCAGTGCATGGACATGACATAGAGTGAATCTCAAACTGGACTGTTTTCACGTTCTCATTTAATTCACGTTTATAAAAAACACCCCTGAAAAACGGTCGGTTCTCCACACAATACCGACTGTGACGCAATAGTCGGGATCATTAATATGTACGCCTCCAAATATTTGCATAATGCCAGCCCTCAATAGCCGCGTTTCCACTGTCGGGCCAGTGCTAGGCCAGGGCTTTAAACGGGCCGTGCCGGGCTAATAGCCTCGGGCCAGTAGCACCGGGCCTGCGTTTCCACTGTCGGGCCAGAAGCTCCACAGCGCGTCACTAAAACACGCCCGCAACACGCCTCTCTGGAACAACGTCACACTAACCCATCATTTCACCAACAAATGGAAGTTTTATCAGAAAACTAATCAGAAAGAAATCACTGGAAACAGCGTGCATCGCAAAACAAACATGATAAAAGCGGCCGTTCGCTGGCATTTTTGTTGTTTACTTGAAAATTTAAAACGCAAGCATCGATGTTTTACCACAGGTTTACAATAAAAAGTGATACATTGATCATAATGAATTAATTTATGTCAAAATTGCACATTAGTCACACAGAAATAAATTACCGTTAGGTCTATTTCACAAAAGAAAGAGGACACACTTACATTATTCAGTCGAGGCTGTTTCTGTTTATTTGGTAGTTACAGGACATATATCACATTTAGAAAGAATGATAATTTCTACAAATAATGTTATATGCCACCAAAAAATACGACCTGGGAAGCGTTAGCACAGTCTCGACTCCCAGTAGCTACAGATATATTTTCAGTCAGAGAAATAGGAAGCTCCCGAAAAAAAAGTAGATAGTCCGGTATAAAGAGACTAGGCCTACTATGTAGTATATGTAGGCTACTGACAGATAAAATAAAAACATGATTGTGATAGCCTTTATGATTGGTCTGACTTCTTCAAGCGTTCACCATGTTTTTTTACTATGCGTATTCAAGCGTTTACTATGGTAATGGCTAGCGCGCATAGTCTTTTGCATCGCGTATAAATATTTCTACCTTATACGGTGATCAGAATCCACATCGGATCACAAACAGAAGGCATTAAAACATGAAAGTGAGTTAAATTATTTTAAAAGTCTTTAATGCTGACAGAATCCATCGGCGCTGTCTCTCGACTCAGGTAATCCCCGCCTCTGTTCGTAACCACTCCTCTAGCCCGAGCTGGCCCGCTTTGGCCCAAGGTATTCGACGGGCCAGAAATCCTGGCCGTTGGCCCCGAGTAAGCCCCGATCAAGCCCCGGAAGTGACAGTGGAAACGCGACTGGCCCTGGCACGCACTAGCACAGCCCGGCCCTGGCCCGGCAGTGGAAACGCGGCTAATGCCAGGCGGAACTGCGCAGCCGAAGCTGTTTCCTCAACTTGGGCCAATACAGAGCTGGCCTCGGATCGAGCTACCAAGCAACACTTTCTGATGTGTAATTGTTCAAGTTCAGACAGGTAATCTTTCTCTCAAAATCGTTCAATACTGTTTATGCATCAGTAAGTCAAGCCAGTGACTAAAATATCAGCTTCACATCGTTTCTTTTAGTAGGATGAAAATAATCGTATTTAAATTGTGAACAAATTATATACAGAAAGCGATCAAAGAACAATCTTTCCACACAGCGCGAGTTTATCTGGACACTTGCCAAACTCGTTATGAAATCAATGACGCACGTTACTGCACAATGAAGCTCTTACTGTATTTACATCATCGTGTTTGCATTGGTGAAAGCAGAGAGAGTGCAGAAACTGCTTTGCAATGATTAGATCTTCATTCTCGCGATCAACACACAGTCATCTGCTCAATGCTCATCACGGCAACATTTTATGTGATGGGAATAGATCTAAATACTTTAAAAACATCTCACGATTCGTTAATCTCGATAGCTGTTATAGTAAAAACGTATAATAGCAGTAGTAAAAGTATTCGGGAGAGAGTTTCACATGTAATGCGTTGCTTTTCCATATGCAAGCATGTCAGCCAATCACAGCAGTGGCCGCGGTTACACTGAATCCCACAGCAGACACGCCCCTTCAAACAGAGTGTTCAAATCAGAGGCTAAAAGCAGGCTAGGAAAAATGCCATTTATTTCTAAATTATAATTATTTTTTATCTAAAAAACATACTAACATTATTAGGGTAACCCAGGAAACATTATAAAATAATTAAAAAAAACATTCTAGGGCACCTTTAATAATCTAAGTTTTAATATAAACTAGAGATGTTGCCTCTTTGCTCCAGGTCTTCAGGAAAAAGTTGATCAATAGGGTTTCGATCTTGAAGTGAATGAAAAGAAATAAAATTCTTACGTGTGAAATTACGTACCTGTAGATATCTGAAAAAGTGGGCTTTAGGTGTTTTATATTGAGATTCTAATTGCGCAAAAGACAAGAAGCAACCATTAGCAAAAAGATCTTTAAATGTTAAGATATCTTTTTCTTGCCATAGCAAAAATGCCTGGTCATTTAGAGGCTGAGTGAATCTATGATTTCTAGCAACTGGGGCACAGATTGAACCCCTCTGCCATCCAAATCTGGACTGAGTTCCATACCATTGGGTCCAACGAGTGAGAGTCTAGTCCCAAGGGTGAGAATAGGAGGGCTGAGAGTGAGAAAGGAAGGCAAGCTGATGATTCTATCTGGACCCAGTCTGGTGAGTAGTTTATGTAATGTGAACCTTGCTAGTAAGTCAGAGCTCTTAGGTTACAAGCCCAATAATACATTTTAAAATTTGGGAGAGCCACCTACCAACACCAATCAACGACTAACAGCCGACTTGGAAAACTTTAGTTGGGGGCAGCTCTAGTCTTAAGGATCTTAGTTTGGAGTCTCTCTAGTGTAATCAATCATATTAAGTTGATTTTTATATTACAATGTTTACATGTGCGGAAGTGATGGCTGAAATAAAAGGGCTTATAGGATACCACATATCGGGCATTTTTTTATAACTGTATTATTAGTGAGGCAGGGAAAAAATCAAAGCACTGCTAGAGGACATTTTGAACAAGTTGTTAATGTAGAATAATTGTATTTGTTTCATAAAATAGGCCAGAGAAGGATTTTTCTGAAAAAACCCCAAAACAAATCCTCAGGCTTTGCTGTAGTAGTGGTTGTCTAGATGTTCAGAGTGTTTTAGTTCTGATTTAGGATGTTGCTTAAAGTTCTATTGGTTAAGTAAAACAAGTCCATGTCCAAATGGAGTGCAACAATGTCACAGCATTACAACATTTGATTTGGAGCAAAAATGTATGCAAATCTGTGGGGAATGGTACAAAACATTACTGAAGCGTGAAACATTGTTAATGACATAATTGAATCAAAATCAATCTGTACAATATATAACTTAACTTGTAGCCATTTGTATAATTTTCAGTGTAAAACAAAACAATTTATATTTTTGCTAAATTTTCATTTAAGTTCAGGGTTTAAGGAGACCAACTCAATTTGTTATTCACAGTGTTTATGAGGGTGGAGGGGACTGCTTGAATTTTTTTCTGATTTGAGCAAACCCTTAAGCTTAAGTATGAGCAATAGTAAAAAAAGAATTGTCTGTACAGTATTGTGCCACTAGAGGATGCTGAAATACCAAATATAAGACTTATTGGTAATGTGAATATTTTTTTTATTTTTTTTTTTTCTGAGAACATAATGACACTTTCACCTCGTTCTCTAATAGGATACAGTGTTTATACGCTGCAACCACAGAAAAATGTTAGTTGATGCTATGCTTTATTTTGCTGCAGTCCATTAATAACAATATCTTCCATGCTACATTTTAACCAAACATGTATCAAATGTTATTTTGATAGATTTAATAGCTCAGTCCCTCCCATGTTCACTCATTTGATCGTACTCCATCATGAGCTTTATCATGCACACTCTCTCAGCTTTGTGTGTGTGCCTGCTTCCAGTTAAACACAATGAGTGTGCGTATCTGTGTGAATTACTGACATCTCTCTTCCATCATAACTACATGCCCTCTCTCTCTCTCTGCCTTGTGCTGAAGCTCTGCCAAAATAAACGTGTTTCAGGCCGGTGTTTTGTGGTGCAGTGGTAATGTGCCACCACTGATGGGCCAATTCATTCTCCATAATTAAGGCGAGCAGAGTGAGTGATTAGACGGGGCTTTTTCTGGGTGATGTTGTGAAGAGCTGACATCTGTTCAGACTCATGCTTTGAAATCTTTTTCCTTTATAACCGTGAACTGGTGACTGGAGCCTTTTTCTGGTGGAGTGGTACAATGTTTACAAGCAAAGAAAGCTCAATCCATGTTTGTTGTGAAGCAGAATTGTTAATCATAGCTATGATGCATCATTCTGTGCCGCATATATGCGCTTTTGTGACCCCTGAACCTTTCTAACAGGTATTTCATGTCTTGTTGCAGTGTGTCACGCAGAGCTGAACGCCATCATGAATAAGAACTCAGCAGATGTCAAGGGTTGCACTATGTATGTAGCGCTCTTCCCCTGCAACGAGTGCGCCAAACTCATTATTCAAGCAGGTGAGAGTGTATCTGAGCATTTGTTTCTAACTGTTCATGTCTAGGTTTTTCAATCAACACTTTTATTTCCACTGATCAGGAATTATAGTAGCACACTGAACCTATGGTGACAAGTAAACAGCTAATTGTCATTCATTTCTTAACCGGCATCAGTGCATTAATACTTTGATCAAGGTTATGTTCTGTTTCTTTGCTCCAACATTGGCGTGTAAAAGATACGTCCTTATTAGTGCTGTCATGAATCATGATGGTCAGTACCAGTGAAATTTCATGATTCTACTAATTTTGATACCTAATCAAGAACTGCTGAACTGTTGGTGTAGTGTCTGGTGAACTGTGCTGTTGGTGTAGTGTCGTACACAGACAGACAGTAGGAAATGGTATGATATGTACATTTTATTTTTAAAATGTTTTGTCAGTCAGTGTAGCGCTGAGTCTTACAATTATTTACACTGCAAAAAATAAGGCCTATGTTTCCATTCAAAATATATAAACATCCTAAAATATATGTTTACCTTATGGGAAAATTGCATAAATTTGATTTGTTTAAAGTAATTAAATACTAATTAAATGCCTAAAAAGAATGAGACTAACTCTTCTCTGAAAACTTTCTCTGAAATGTTACACAATTTTTATTTATTTATTCTAAAACAAAGCAAGAATACCAAATGATTTTTTGCAATGTAATGTGACTGCACATTGTCTGTATCTCATATTTTCTTAATGCTTTGTACCGTTTAATATGGTATCACGTGGATGGAATATGCATGGAAATGATATGCAGATGACATCATGCATAGTAAAACTAGGCATTGTAAGCTCCATATATGGTTATTTCAGGGATGCATGTACGTACAATCTTCCGGATTTTATAAAGGGAATTTTGCGCAGGTTCTGGCGTACGCATGGTTTTATAAATATGATAACTTTGCGTATGCAAAATCTAGCTTTTTTTGCGTACTCACACTTTTAGGATGAAATCAACGTAAAGTTTTATACATGAGGCCCTCTTTAAGTCATTGCAGCCTAATACCTAAAACCTGCTACTGTGTCTGCCATTAAAGTTAAACAAAGATAACAGAACATTTTAGCTTTAATAAGGATTAATCTATATTTAATTTATGCAGTTACTGTAAGACTGTAAAGTGTTTGATAACTTTATTCAATTTCTGTATATTTCCTACCTGTTAGACAAGTAGGAAGGCCACATGTAAATGAGACATTTATTATAAAGGGTTTATGTGAAGATTGTTTTTTTAAGTTCACTTAAAGGTGCTATATGTATTTTTTAGCGGCCTCTATCGGTGATGTTTCAGTTCAGATGTTTTTTGTTTTAGATTCCGTCACTCACAGTTAAAGAGTACCTATTAGGGCTGGGTATCGATTCGGGGGTGTTGATAGGTCGTGATGTTTTGGGTCTCTCGCTCGCTTTCCCTCTCTGACATGCGCGCGCGCTACGCGGTTTGAAGCGCAATCTCTGTCTCGCGTGCGCGCTCGCTCTAGATTCCGGGAGATTTGAACTAATTTGCGGCATAAATAGTCGATCACGAGTGGTTCAACAGGTAGATATATAGATAAACTCATCTTCCAGGCATTTGACCGACCAGGTTGACACTTCAGCGTTGAGAAATCGGGGGTGTGGCGTGTGAAACCAATCAAATGCGTGTGTCTCATGGCCAATGCGTGAGAGTTGGCAGCTCTCAGTGCTTGAATATTTACACTGGTAAAACTTAAAAAGACGTGAAAATGATAAACGTTAGATACGATGCAATGCTGGCCCGATTGTGCAAGTGAATATTCCGTCATGTCCCGACTCCTAAACACGAGTGTGTATCGACGCCTGCAGCGCTTGCCTTGTGCAGAGTGAGAAGACGCAGCACCGCGAGCCCTGAATATGGAAAAAATTGATTCGTGGCCGTTGAGAATCGATTTTGAATCGACCACATTTTAAAAAACGATTAATCGAATTTTTTTTTTTTTTTTGCCCAGCCCTAGTACCTATGACAAAAATGACAGACTTCTACATGCTTTGTAAGTGGGAAAACCGGCAAAATCGGGTAGTGTATCAAATACTTCTTCTCCCCACTGTATACATGCATGCATATTATATAAACAAAAACTTTTATTTGATGCGATTAATCGATTTGACAGCACTATTTTTTTTATTTGTCTGTCCGATGTCAATTCAAAAAGTCCCTTTTACCACATATTTAAAAGCATTAAGCTATATGCCACCGGAAAATTCACCATGCTGTAAATTGTAAAATGCATGGAACAGATATGAACCGTCCTATTGTCACTTTGGCACCAGAGATGTTTAAAAAAAGAAAAAAGTAAATTCAATACTAGCACCAAAACTGCTACATTGAGAAATCATTTGAAAAATTGTTTACCCTCTTTAGGGTTTTCTTTAATTTAATGCAATCTCTGCTGAGCTCTTAAACAGCTTTGTCTCGCACTATGACGTGTGACTGTAAGTGTGACAGTGTACATGCGCCCTCAAACTGTTTCTATCGATGTGAACAGAGTCTGATTGCCACATGCCATGCATATATCTCAAGTATAGTCCGATTTATATTCATAAATTTGGTTAATTGTTGCATCTGTATAGTTTCATTGTCCTTTTTCTAACAGTACAACAATTTAGCAACAAGAATGACTGTAATTATCCTTGAAAAGAATTCTGTAGTATGCTTTATGTACTTTCCACTTCAAACACATTTAATATTTATATTTTCTTAGGTAGACACAAGATGAACCGCTGTATAAACCATGAGCTATTTTTTTTAAGTGGCAACCTTGTCAGTGCTGATGTGGCTGCAGATGAAATGACAGAGGAGGCAGGTGGAAACTGAGGTTCAATCTCTATGGTCATCCTGAAAAACCTGCAGTGGGCGTCACTTTGAGCAGCCAGGTTCTTTGTGAGCCTTCTTGGCTGCTTAGATACAGCCAACATAGTGACAGGTTGTCTTACTCTTATTTTTCCTTCTCCAAACCCTGCTCTGTTGTTATTTTCAATCTCTTCTTATCTGTTGAACTCTCTTAACACCCTCTTCCCCATTCTCTCTCCTCCCCTCCAAGTCTTTTTGTCCTGATTTTTTCTCTCTCTCTCTCTCTCTCTCTCTCTCTCTCTCTCTCTCTCTCTCTCTCTCTCTCTCTCTCTCTCTCTCTCTCTCTCTCTCTCTCTCTCTCTCTCTCTCTCTCTCTCTCTCTCTCTCTCTCTCTCTCTCTCTCTCTCTCTCTCTCTCTCTCTCTCTGATTCCCCTCCATGTACTCTTGTGGCAAAGCCTACTGAAGCTGTGTGCTGAAGATAGCACGACACACGCTCCTATGCCGTCTGATCTTCAGGATGCTTGGCCTTGCCCCGGCCCATCTCTCAGTGGGGTGTCAGCTTCCTCTCAATGCTCCGGCATCATTAAGGAACACTCCCTTTCGTCTCCTCGCGACAAAACGCGGCTAAAAATGATCGTCCGACCTCATTAAAAACACCCTCTGTTGATGCCAATCAGATGGAGCTGAACAAAGCGGATGTTAAAAGTTTGAATGCTGAGTTTAAAAGAATTGAGACAGGGTGTCGTCGCTGTTGGTTAATTTTGAAGGTGTTATAGCCATGTTTGTTTACTAGAAGTTGTAAAGCCTCACGATATGAGGAAACACAAAAGCCTCTGCATGTAAAAAACATGAGGATAAAAGGAATATTAGTAGACTTGGAATGCGAATCCACCCTGATTCTCTTATAAAGGCATCCGGGCTGTATCTTGTTTATATGTGGTATATGGTAAACCTTTTGATATTGTTGGTGTGTGCATCTCTAACAGAAAACTAACATAATTTAATTACAACCAGAGGGATTTATTAAAAGGAATGTTTTCCAATATTTTGGTGCCATTGGTAAGCTTTTTTGTGCCCGACGACAAAGCTTCCATTTGACTTCCCACATAAAGTTTGCCTTGTTGGTCAAATGACTGTTTACATGTGCACCGATAATGTGATTTTATTTCTAATAATCAGAGTAAGGTTTTACTCAGATAGGCATACAGTATAAATGTTGTTGTTTTAATCTATTAAAATCCATTGTTTTAATCTACTCGCATTAAATTCAAAATACATTTTTATAGATGTACTAGATATTATTCAGCGCCGTGATGAACATTGCAATGCCGGGTTTGCCTACACTGCCATCACGTGCTTCACGCTGTCTAGATGAAGATACGGAGTAGATTCAGAGTAGAAGGAAAACTTTAGAATAATGCCACAGAGTTCATTCATGATGTTGTGTGAAAACACACGGCATCCGTGTACGTCCGAGCACATGCACAGTTTGGCCTCCTGCGCTCTGCTCTTCCATCTTCTTCCATTATATTACTTAAGATCATATTACGCTGGAGCCTTCGTCTTCTGTGTTTCTCTGTACAGAACTCAAGCATAGTCTTTAAACGCCGCCGTTCGTACTCCGTTATTAAGGTCCCGGCAAGGCAGAACAGGAACATTCCGATAGCCTCCTCCATGCTGGTTTGTTGTTGTTGTATGTGGCGCCGCCGCCGTGCTTGCGTCACTCCCTTACCCCTCCTACCAGTTCCTACGGCCACTTGGCCAGTGCGAACGCAAACAGCCAAACCGAGTTTGGGGGAGAGTAGTTCTTAGAACTGTTTAGAAGTGGACAGTTCCTATAACTAAGTTCCTGTAACTACTTGGTCGGAAAGTGGCTATTGACAACTGTTCTTATACTAGAATTAGATCTTTAATTGTACGTTCTCCCCCTTTTTTCTTGATCTGTAATTTTGTTCACTGTAAATGAGAAGTTGAAGACCCTAGATATTACATTTTCCTCCTCCTGTATCTAATTCTGTAGCTATTCCTCCAGTGAGAAAGTGTTACTGCTCTTTTCAAATGCAGTTCAAACGTGTCCATCTCTCAATCTCACTGTTTGAAATGACACCAATCATTTTTTTTTACTTCCTCTGGCTCCCATGTTGATGTCCCCCCTGCACTTTAGCTTCTCTGTGCCAGCGACAGCATTTCTGAAGCGCTGCTTTATAGCCTCTCCTCTCTCTGAGGAATTAAAGTGTTCAGCTCCCAAGCAGCTGCCATCTTGTCACTTCCTGTGACTGTTTTTGGAGGGACTGAGGGACTGTCCTGTCACCTCATCTCCAGAGAGCATTCTGGAAACGTGGCATCTCCAGAGTTCTGCTCCACCTTCCATCAGAAGCTTCCCTTCTGTTGGACAGCATGTCGTCTTGGAAGTGTTTTGAGCAGCTTCGATACTTATCCTCATGTTCTTTTCATGGAAAGGCATGTTTACATGGAAGCACTCGTGCAATTTCTTCGGCCTTTTCCTTTACGCATCACGTCAGGTTTTAGTTTGAACACTTTAAATGGTTTGAGGGCTTTTTTTGGACCTTGAGTGCTTGCTTTTTATTTTAAATAGCCAGATGAGACTTGGATATACAAAGTCATTCCAACCCCTCCCCCCCTCCGCTGCACCATGAAATGTCACCAACAAAATTGTTTTAAGATGGCATAACCAGGCTGTTCCATGGTAATTTCATCTGTTTCCTCTTAAAAATTGTTCAAATAATTCCATGGAGAGGCCCCATGCTTGTAATGACAGCCTTTAATGAAAGGTGGAATTCACTCTGTGCAAGTCATTTTGCCTTCGATCAGAGCACTTTTCTCCTCCTGTGCAGATAAAAGTACATGATGGAGACGCTGTGTATTTTGGGGTAGTGTGTGTGTCTCTCTCTCTGATATATTCACCTGCAATTGCAACAACCATTGGCTATGTTAGACTACTCTTTTTCACCTCTGAAAGCGTTAAGGGCAAGAGGGAGTCTAAAGTGGTTTCACTTGATTCCTCACGTTTCTCTGTAAAGCTTGGCCAACAGGGCCTTTTATATACTCTCCTCATGTGGGCCGCTTGTGAGTAGTCAGCAGGATGCGTGGGGGTGCTGCCAAATGCCCCATGTTTTTTAGACGCCAGCAGGGCAGATTTCGTTTCAATTGGGATTGGTTGATATTGGTTTGAGCCTGCAGCGACAAGTTATCGACTCACCTTCCTTCTCCCCTAGCACAAGCTCTTGTTCTTTCCTAACAGGCTATTTTGGGTCCCTGTTCTCTTTGGGCCTGTTTGTTTGAATTTCTCCTGTTTGCTTGTGTGTGTGCGTTTGTCTGACCCACACTATCCTTCTGCTGTCTCTGCCTTACAGGTATAAAGGAAGTGATCTATTTGTCAGACAAATACCATGACACTCCAGAAATGACTGCCTCCAGACGTCTTCTTAACTTGGCGGGCATCACATACAAGTAAGTCTCTCGAGTCTGACCTTAGTAAGGGGTTGGTGTGTGGCTTGGAAATTAAGAGGGTTCATTTGCATTCCTGTCGGATCTGACTGGCCCAAACGAGTACAATCAAGGCTGTAACGGAGCCTGACCCTCAGATGTGTGGGTGTATGTGTGACCTGAAGCATCAAAAAGCTTCTGTGAGCCTTCGAAAAAAGACACGCTTGGGGAAAAATGAGTAAGCACTGTGCACAAGTCTGGATTTGTCTTATACTCCATAGGAAGCCAAATCGGATCACCTTCATAACAACCTCAAAAGTGCAATAAACAGCCACAATTGACTAGTCATATTAATGACGTTTTATATATTACTAATACTATATTTTTATATTTTACTGTTGTTTTATACACACACCTCTACACAAACAATTGTTTGTGCAGTGGACATGAATGATACCTCAAAGCTTGTGGCTTGTTTAGAGTGCTGTGTACTGTTACTTTAAGAGACTAGCCTGGTGGATGATTAAAAGAAAATCCTGTATTGTAATGTTGTATTTTTGGCAAACAAAGAAATTAGTATTATTAAAAAATATGATGTACAATGATATATATCTACATGAGATGGAGACTGCAGGAATATCAGTGGCCTAGAAAAGTTGTTTTATTCAAGATGGCGCTGAGCTGGTTTCTCCTCATGCATGTTGGCATCAATGACAGCAACTGAGTTACTATTACTACTTCTAATAATAATGATAATAATAAAAACGTAAATACTTTTGAATGACACATTTAATCAGTACTTAAAGGTGCAGTGTGTTTTTAGCGGCATCTAGTGGTAAGGTTGCGAATTGCAACCAACAGAAGTTACGGTGGCCGACAGGAAAAGATGTCGTCGTCTGAGACAGCAGAGAGTAGTCAGTTAAGCAATGAGGTTTCTTTACAAAGATAAATTAAGAAATTAGATTTTACTTTATTATTCAGTAAAACGATGTTATTGCGAATATAATTGTTACTTGTTCATCATTGTGTCAGTGTTTTATTCATTGACTTTAGCTAGCTTCCTTGCACGAAGAACAACATGGTAACGAAATGTTTGTCCGTTTAGGGCCATTGTAGAAACATGTCGGTGCATTTCAATGTAAGGGGACCCTCGGTGTATGTAGATAGAAATGGCTCATTCTAAGGTAATAAAAACATAACGGTTCATAAAGTAAGGTAGTGAAAACATAGTTATGTATATGATATTGCATTTCTGTCAACAGATCCTCATAAATATTACACAATTCACCTTTAAGGTGTTTTACAAAACATAAATGATATATTAACAAACAAGCAAAGTTTAGTCGGACTGAACAGACAAACATGACAAAGAAGTTCAAAGATCATCAACAACGTCACCTTAAAAGTGTAACCGATCGTGTGTGTGATCTACCAGACAGTCCAAACAGAATGAGTACCATGCCGAAAGGTGTCAGCTTAAAGTTCAAGACTACAGGGATTAAAAGAGCAAAATGTAAATGCAAACATTTAAAACCTTTTGTTTAAACACATAATGTGAGCGAAGAAGCCCTTCACTTTTTTTTTTTTTAATGAGATTCAGGGTTAACCGACAACTTAACTGAACTCTCTGTGGGGTTTGCAGTCCTAACAAAGTCCTCTTTATGTTAGAGAGAGCCAGCAGGAACCACAGCAAGAGCGGACTGGACGGAAATCTCATCTTCCCAGTTGTATGTACACACTATATATAGATGCACGGTAAATAAACTCTGAAGCCTTTCATCATAGTCAGATCAAATAGGACTGGGGGGACATGAGCCTGAGGAGACAAAAGGAGTAGATCCGCCTGAAGATGAAAATCAGGAAATTCTTGAAGATACTTTCATGCCTCTTGCCTGTCTTTGAGGGTAGCAAGGTTAATTCCCCTGCTGCCGCTTTTTGAAGGTTGTTCTCCAATACTTCCAGCATTACTATGGATCTCTGCATTTCCATTTCTTCAGCCCTTTGATTGCAGAGCCATAGGCTATTTAATAAAGATATTAAAATCTATTCCACACCCATCACAATTTCACTCTTTTTTTTTTTTTTTTTTTTTACGCAATGCCCAGAGAGTCTGTGTCCATCTGGACATTTAAACATTCCTACTACACGGTTACATTTTCACCTGTGCCATATTGATTTTATGTATATATGCGGTGGCCCTAAAAGTATTTGGACATTTAAGCCTCTCATAAATGTAGGCATGGTTTAGCATTTATATAACAAAATATCAAACCAAGTGGTATTTATTTTAAGGAAATATAGAACTAAAACACTTTTCAAGCAAAACATTTCACAAAAATGTTAGTTCATATTATAAAATAAATGTTCTGTATAATGTTTAAAAAATTTCAGAAAATAAATCTTATTGTAGAGAACTAGGAATTAGAGGAGGGTGGTGTTTAATGTTTGTTGAAATATATATATATATATATTTATATTAGTACTGTGCAAAAGTCTTAACCACGTAGTGTGAAAGTACAGTAGGAAATATCAGTTTACGTTTCTGGAGTCTGACAAATGCCGGTGCTCCACATGGAGATCTGATCTCACCATCATAGAGTCCATCTGGGATTACATGAAGAAACAGAAACAAGAGAGAGGCTAAAGAAGAACTGCGGCCACGTCTCCCAAGATGCTTGAAGAAACCTACCTGCAAAGCTATCTGAAGAACTATGTGCAAGTGTACCTGGACAAACCCTGTTTAAAACGCAAAGGGTGGTCACCAAATAATAATTTGATTTAGTTATTAGAAGTTAATTGATAAATATAATATATTTTTATGACATTTATTTTTTGAAAGCATCCTCACTTTACAGCATTTTAACAGTGCCTTTAATTTTACACCGTACTGTAGCTTTGGAAGTAGGTTTCTTCAAGCGTCTTGAAGATGTCGCCACAGTTCTTCTGGATTTAGTCTGACTCAGTTATTTCTATTTCATGTAATCCCAGATGGACACGATGATGGTGAGATCTGATCTCAGTGTGGAGCACCGGCTGTTGACACTTCTTGTGCATACAAAAATCTCATTGGATTATTACAATTAATGACAAAATTAATGTTTGGAAATGTAAACTGATATTTCCTAAGCCCCTCTCACACAGCGCGTTGATACCGGGAAATTGCCAGAATGCCTTCTGTGTGTACGCAAACACGACCCGGGATTGATGCCGGGTTGGGGACCTAGTGACATTGCCGTGTTCAGTCCCGGAATTCCGTGCCGTAATGATGACGCTGGGTTGTGTGTGAACGCTCTATCTGATTCCAGAAAATCACTGGCAGTGTGAATGAACCAAAATCAAACGAACCTGGTTCAAATCCCGGGTCACTTAATCCATGAATTTTCCGAAATCTCTGTGTAAAAGAAGGACACTGACTGACATACTACAGCAAAATATACAAATAACTGGCTTAAAACCATTTTTTGGGTGAAAATAACGTGGCTAAGACTTTTGCACAGTACTGAAGTGTGTGTGTGTATATATATATTTATTCTTATTCTTAACTATTTTGTTTATATTATGTTTGCATATAATGTTTCCCTGCACATTTTTGACCTGCGGAAAAAGAAATACTTGCGCTACTTGCGTGCCCGATAAAAGTTTAGATCTGACTTTGACTCAGACAATGAACTGCAGTAGTTGATCATATGTTTTCAGCTTTTTATTTATTAATTTTAAGTGCCAGATGATGAGAAATAAAGGATTGAAACCTCACCATTGTGTGCAGAGTTCTGCATTTTGAATTCTGAATAAAATGATGAATCGATTTGCTCAGGCATCATTTCTGTTTGAGATTCTATCAGAGATTCTATTTGTATGTATTTGCTTCTGTTGTTATTGAGGTTCAATGATGAGGAATAGATTTTTGCCACATCCAGCTCATCTCACACTGAGAGGGAGGGGTTAGTAAAATAATGAAGAGTAAAAAGAGTGGGGTAGAAGGTAAATTGAGAACGAGAAAAATAAAAGGAACGGAAAAGCAAGGTTTGTGGTGCAGATGGAAGAAAAGGCTAAAAGTGGGGGAAAAGGAGTTTACCACCTGCTGGTTTGGTTCTTCTTGGCAGGGTATTTTCTCGTGAGATGTTGAGGTGCTTGGTCCCTGCTGGGATTGCCTTTTGGAGGGGATGCTGCTTGTGTTCTCTCACGAAGACTAGTGTGTAATTGGTTTCCTCAACTCCAGGATGCTGAGGTGAATTATAGGTGTGACAATGAGGACAAGTGAATTCTCTTTGTCAATTTTATAAAGGTGTTTTAAAACGTCTCTGATTTGACGAGTGACAAATTACTTATGTTTTATTTGGACATGCTTCAGTAATATATTTATATATTTTTCTGTTCTTATTTCTGTCCTACAGGCAATTCAAGCCGAAGCAAGGAAAGATTGTCATTGATTTTAATTCAATCAACCACCCCGGATTGAACACTTCCAGTGGTTTTGGGGGTGTACAGTCATCATAAGCCAAGGAACTTGGAGCGTGACACTAAGTATTCATAAAACAGACACATTGTTTACCTTATGTACTGGTAAAGGTCTTTATGGGTTTGAGAGTGATTACTAAATAGATGTTGTTCACTGTTGTGCAATTTTGTTTTAAATCTTTGTTTCTTCAAATCTTGAAACTTGCTGAAATTGACAGTAGTTAAAGTTTTGAAATGCGTTTCTTTTATGTATATGCTCTAATGCAAAACATTAATATTTTTTTTATCAATTTATAAAATAGCGGCAGGTAAGTGACCTTAGCTGATGTGCCTATTTTAAATTGATTCTTTTAGAGTTTCAGTATTTATGAGTGGGATGACAATGAGGAAATTAAAATCAAACTGGATGCCAACATTAACCAAATCAAATGATTTACCTTTGTCTTTTAATCTTTTTGTATGCTGCTGTATGACAAGGCTGATTCGATTTTGATGTTCATTTCACTCATACAAAAACTGTAAATTACCATTTCCTTCAATAAACCTCTGATGATTGTTTTGCTCAAATTCATAAATTATGAGGTTTATCTGCTGGGGTTCTTACAAAAGCTTGTCAAACCGCAATCCGCATTGTTCTGTGCATGTTGTGTCTTTGCAAGTTAGAGCCCACAACTTCAGGTTTTAATAAAAAGACCTGCATTTTAGAGCGATGTATTTGCAACTGTTAGGTATCGTTATACCAGGATCACGCTCTCCAAATAAAAACTGAATAAAATTACTCATTGTTTCTGGTTCATTGGCATCCTATGAGATTTAGAATTTTTTTGTTTTGTTACACAACACAAAATAAATCTGCCCACATATGCATGCCACAGAACAAAAAAATAGCAGCTGTATCACTGAACAGTTTCCCAGCACACACAACAGACTTTGGAATTAATGATATTTCTTAACAGTATAATAGGACATTTGTTCCTGAGCATCATTTGGTCACTACTATTCACTATTCCTCCTGGGATCTGATAATGCAGAGATCTTTTGATGTAATGGTTGTATGGCATTGCAATTTTTTTGGATGGTGCTCACTTTCGGGTTGAGCTTTCCGCGACTGCGCAACTGGGGTATAGGTTGCCAGGTTGAGATGACAAACGGGTTGAAATTGTATATGATGTGTGGATTGTGTGAATATAATGCATTTAATACAAGATCTGGCAACTGGTCAACATTAAACAAACATATTGTTCCGATTATTCATAAAGGAGTTTGGGCCATGCAAATTACGGGAGTTTCCCGGGAGAAATAACAAACCGGGAGGGGTCCGGGAGATAGGGCTAAAAAACGGGAGAAACCCGGGAAAAACGGGAGTGTTGACTCTTGTGTTGATTTTTGTAGGCGGTGATGAAGTTCTGTTTTGGTAAACACAGCAAACACTTGAAGTGAAAACTATCATTAACTTGTTCAGAAAATTGAAATAGTCTGGTGAGATGGGGCCACGGGTTGGCACATTCCCGGGATGGACCTGCCTTTTGTCCATGGTTTCGTCTCTTATCTAAATCTGACCATGGAGTTGACTTTGGCGGAAAGCTGAAGGTGATTGCTGATAGGCTGTCCCAATCAGTGGCGCCTGTACAATCCAATCAGGTTTTTTTTTTTTTTTTTTTAGAAGTAGTAACGGGTACTCACGGTTATGGATAGAAATGTAGCGGAGTAAAGAGTACAATATTTGCCTCTCAAATGTACTTGAGTAAAGTCATGAGTACTCCCCAATAATGATACTCGAGTAAAGTACAGATCCCTCAAAATTGTACTTAAGTACTGTACTCAAGTAAATGTACTCCGTTACTGTCCGGCTCTGCATTTAAATGCAGTTGTCTCTCGTGAAACTCTACAATAATACGTGGCCGTTGGTCCTCTTAGCAGCATAAAAAATAAAACTTTTATTCAAATTGCTAATAGATTATACAGAGACCGAGTGCAGTGAAGCTGTTAATCAATTCAATTACAGCGCACAAACGCTGTGCTCAACACTGCAAATCTAGTTGCAATAGAAACTTTTAACATTCTTTAGACAACAGAGCATGAACACAAATAAGCACCTGACCGCCTGAAAGCAGCTGCCTATCAGTTGGTACCGAATTGAGTTGAAATAGTCTTGACTATTGGACCTGCATGCCTATTGATTCCCGACCCGCACCGCAAATGACTACGTAAATATTCCCGTTAGCCTACATGATCAAATATAAGGGAGGGGGGAGGGAGGTAGGACTGTTTGATTGGCGCATTTTCTGTCCAATGATTCTAGGTGGTCTTGGAAATGATTGGCTGGAGTTTTTCGAGTCCTGCCCGTTCCACAGATGATTAAATTGCTTAATTTTCATTTCAGTGCTTCTAACTCAGTAGCTGTAAGTGGGTTAGGAATAGGATTTCAAGTGATTTTGAAAAAATGGTCAAAAAAGAAAATCACATACCCCACTTTAAAGGAATAAAGCTGATTAGATTGTATTAGATTAGGGGGTCTTAAATTGCACATTCACTTATGGTAGTGTATAACGTCACTGCAGACATCACTGGCTGGCATACTGAAAGAGTCATTCAAACTATGTACCTAACAGCACCATAGGCAGAGCTGTAAATGGTTTGACAAAAAAAAAAATTACACCAGTTCTTCTTCCCGCCTCCTTCTTCCCACATGCAGTTGAGATTTTAGAACCTTTAAATGATTTTTAATGTCAAACATAAGATTAAAAAGCCATTTCCTTTTTAATAACCATAAAGAAATCATTTTCTTTAAAGCAGCCTTTCAGCTCTTGAAGTGGTCCATGTTTCAAGCGTCCTTACACATGGTTGCACATGGGTTGCACATGTTTTATGTAAATAAGAACCAATGCCACTTCCAGAAAGTATTTGCAGAGGCCATTCATTAATAGGTGTTCAGTGAAATGCGATGTAATGTTTCTTGTGGTAATTGTTAATATTTTTTTTTTGTGCACTCTTGTCTTTTGACATAAAAAGACATTAAAATAAATCTAATCACTTGCATGAAAGAAAGTTTTTTCTAAAAGAAAATTAACCCTGAGGAAAATGAATGGAAAATAAAATGGATCTGTAGCCACAAGGAAATGTCCCTGGTTCTAGTCTACTGGCATTGTCCCGAAAATAGCAGCTTGGACATTTTGAGATACACAGATGCCAAAAGTTAAGTCCAGTGGGGATATTTGCAAAATATAAGTATGATATACTGGGAAGAAAAATACACTAAACTTAAGGTATTAAAAGAAAGGCAATCTCCTGCATATCATGGAATATGGGTTTTATAGTATTATAGAAAAGCAAAAAGCTCACAGAAAATAAAGCAAATATTGACTACAATGTATTCAGTTATTTATGTTTTAGTTCATCCTTGTGTTTGATTACAGCAGCCATTCCCCTGGGTATTGACTCATTTAAAGGATTCCTAGGCGCAGAGATATCGCGCACGCAACACCTGAAATCCTCAAATCCCCCAACTTCCATCAACATCGGCGTGACTGGCACCAAATATCTTCGATATCTCTGCCCCGGTGAGACGCACCGATCTCTCACGGAGGAGCGGAAGCATAAAGGAGGAGCGACGACTGTGAAGATCGACATAGGGCAACTTTTTAGCAATTTTGTTGGGCAATGTTGCCGTCAACGGGCAACCAGGTGAGACACAGGGCCCACGACCGATCTAAATTATCCAGATTGAAATTTATTGCTCATTTTCAATGGGAAAGTGCCCAAGCAACAATCGCTCGGCAAGATTGCCCAGCAAAATTGCTCAAAAAGTTGCCCTGTGTATCATCACCTTTAGGCTATGTTGTGTTTTATTATATGTGACAGCAGTCGTCCGTGAGGGGCTGTTACTTTCGATTTGTTTTATTTTGTTATTAAAGTCTGTTGATTGTTCGCCGGTTCCCGCCTCCTTCTTCCCACAACAACTAACCTCGTTACACCCACATTCAGGTGATTTTCATCCTCCTGTCAAAATGCTCACTAGTCTTCCTTATTACATTCAGCATGGTAGTGGTCTCAATGTGCGTTGAAATAATTCTATGCACATTGTTGTGACCATTCACATCCAGCACATGAGCAATATCCAAAACCGACTGACTAGATTTAGCCATTTTATTAATATCCTCCTTGGTTGCATAGGACAGCACTTCCATCTGGGCATTTTCACTAAAATAGTAAGTAACATTTAATAATATAGCTAATACCTGCCACATTGTGATTTATTGAATTATAGGCTGGGAATAATGAGTGCAAGCTTAGCATGACACTTGATTCGGTTTCACTGCGTCATGACAAATGATACAATTGAAACATGGAATGCATACAGTAGTTTTACACTTTAGACACAACTTCACAACATGCATACAGCATATTTAATAAATATTTGAGTAAAAGTATGAATATAGTGCGAAAAAGCCAATGAATCACTTTTGGCCACTACATATGCAGAAGAATGTTATGCATGGCTAAAATGTAATGATTGTTGATGAACTATCCCTGACTATAAACATAATTGTGTGACTATATTTTATTTAGCACATTCTATAACTGCATGGCTGCTCATATTTTCATCTCAGAGTTTGATGATGTATTGCGGCATTACACCCACCTGATGGGAGTGTTGTCATTGCTGAAACAGAATAGGCCCACTGAGTTTATACTTAAAGAGGGAAAAAACCTGTTGTTCTTCCATTTTTTTTCTCTGAAATACAGTATGTTGTTAAGGGTAAAGGTCACAAACACCTCAAAGCCTAAATTAAAAAGACATGAGTGGTTGATATACAGTATGCAAATTGCATCATATCATCCACAATGCGGATGACAGTTTTCCCTTTGATGATTTGATTTAGGTGATGGGTCTTGAGGTGCTGCTAAAAATAATTATTGTAATGGTCTTTTTGCAGGAAAGGAAAGTATTCTGTTTGAGCAGCAAAGGGGGTTATAAAATGCCTCTAAGAAAGTTTACAGCAAGCAGATGAAAACCTGCTCATGTGTCAGATGGTGTAGCTGATGAAGTGCTGCAGCATATCTGTTTGAGAACCAAGTGCAATCATTCTCTGGAACACAGCGCACTGACAGCCAGCCAGCCAGACAGACAGCACTGTCTAAGAG